TTTGTTGCACAAGTGAGATGTTTTGAAAGTGCTAGTTGGGTGTGATTTTTGAATTTGCTTAGCGACATATGTTAAGGAAGGTGGGAGCTGAAAAATAACCATGAAGATGTTAAAATACAATGAAATTGCCACGGAGGGGCAGCAGAGGGGCGGAAATGAGTGAAGATAGAAGGTTTTTCTGAAGATTCATGCCAAGAATTGTTTCCGCCCAATTTACTTTAAATAGACAAGTCTGTCCAGCCAAACATGAATAAATAAAGGCGTTATTTAAATGAATAGTTTATTCTCCCACATCCAACAACAGAAATTAGCAGCAATCTACACAAAAAGAATTACTTATTTTCAGTTAAGGTAGTTCTACTTCAAAGTCTGCTTTTTTTCCCTCTCTGTCTTTCTCTATCTCCATATCTCTGTCTCAATCTTTATCATCTCTTTCTCCTCTCTGTCTCTCCCCAGCATCCTTCTGTCTTCCAACTAAAACATGGCTACCCAGCCCACAATTTATATCTCTTCCCTCTGTCTGAAATGACAAAGGTCAACTCAGACACCAGGCTGCTGAGAAATAGTGTACTATACTACCAAGAAGAGTTAGTAATCACTTCGTTTTTCCTGAGACGTCTCTTATTTTAACATGTCTGTGCTATTTGAGGAAAGTACATTTGCTGTTGCATCAGAAATTTTGAGGACTATATATCTATGTCTATATATATGTTTATGCTCATAAAAAATATATACTGCCTAGATCGTTTGGGGAGGGTAGGCAGGAGTTTTAGAAAACAATTTGGTATGTCAAAGAGGAAATTGTATAGCATCAGAAATGGACATGAGGTACCTGTACACTATACATATGTGTGTCAGGTACTTTGTAACCTGTTTCCAGGTTTCCATGACAAACATCCCTAATTCTGTAATACGTGGGACAGGATTACATTTCTCCACAACTAAAGCCTTTCTGACCTCTGGCTGAGGGAGGCCAGTCAATGAGGAGTGATTAGGTTATAAAACCGACATACACTTTTCTATTTCTAAGGTGTCGCTAAAATCCCTAACATTTTAGTTTCCTAGAATCAAAGATTTTTCATGAGGATATACATTGTGCCCAGACTTCTTTAATCGGAACGAAATTGAACAATATCGTGTTAGAAAACTGCACATAAAGTCAAAGCACGGCCCCGATGGAGTAACTCCCCACTGGAGACCAGTCCTCCCGCTGGAGACCACTGTCCTCCC